CCTTACGTCCAATTAGAGGGACAACTTATTTTGATGATCCAACCGGAAAAATAACATCCTCCACTATACTTTTAATGGTGCTTAAATCATTACAGGATTTTTTTTGATTTTATCTTTTTTCCTTATCTACTTGACCGTATTTTGAACTTCTACACAATACATTTCTGGTAAGACCGAGACAAAAGCTTTCTTTGAAAAAAAAAAAAAAATCTATCAGAGAAAAAACAAGTGATGTTCCTCGAACACTCATCAAACATGGGGATGACATCATCATGCTATAGTTGTGCTTTTCTTTAGAAGGGACAGGGAGACTGGTTAGAGTGGATGGAAAGATTGAGGTAAACCACAAAACATCCTTCTACAAAATGTCTCCTCTGATCATACAGCAGGGCTTTGATGAGAAGTAATTAAATTACAACAGTAATACTGTTCACTGAGTTTGAAGTGTTGCCAAGCAGATATCCACAAAGAATTACTTGTGACACATAGTGAAATTTACTCGTTGTTCCATGCATGTATAAGCCTTCGGAATCTGAAGTTTGCGTAAGTGTAAAATTGCTTAATGTGCTTCCATCTTATTCTTTAATAACATACCATAGTCTTGAGTGACATTTTGAGCACACACCAAGTCAGACTAATTATTTACATTAGCTGTAATGCTTCAGCTCTTGTACATGCCGGATGAGAGAAGACAGCTCCCTCTGCGCCCATTAATGTGTGGTCGAACTATTAAACTGCCTGTCACAATCAGTAGTGTGTCCCATGAATTACCGTCTTACATGGACACTGAGTAATAGGGACTTACTGTACATTGGTGGAAGATGTCGGGGACTAGAGCAATGAATAATACTTTAAGTGGGAGCTTCTGGACCTGCCTGTGCTTGCTGTCAGGTAGCAGCCTTTATAGTGGCTATTCTCATTAAAGCCAAACTTGGTTTGTTTAAACCAGGAAAGTTCAGCTAATAGTGTCCTCTTAATGAGGTAAAAGTGTTTTTAAATTCTGTTACAATTTACGCCTCTGCAAAAATATTTAAACAGGGACCACTGATGCAAAAACATAAAGATGATTAACTGACCAGCAGACATAGTCTGTGTAATTCATAGGGATTTACAAAGTATAAGAAAAAAAAAAACATTTCCTTTATTATACGGTTGCCATTTAAAAAAGTAAGAGCAGTGTGTTTATATTTACATATCTGTAAATTTTTGTTTGTTCTTATTGCCATTACTGTAAAGTTTCTTTAGTGTTTCTTTTGTCTTTGCACATCTAAAGTTTTTTTTTTCTTTTGAATACATAAAGCACAAGCAGCGTTTTCATCCACAAATAGCAATTTTTAAAGGCTCTAGATTGTATTTATATCTTGACTTTGAGTGGGTCATTCTTTACACATTATGTTTCGGATTGTTATCCTGCAATAGATACTGTACATTCTGCTATCATCCAGCCTCTTTAGGTTTATTATATCCATATTCCTATAATTTCCTAATAGGTTTCATGTCCCAGTGCAAGAAAAGCATTCCAAAGCAAAATACTGCCACTACTATATTTAACAATGAAACACATTGAGGTTTAATGACATTTTATATTTGTTGGAGGCCATAACTTTTAGCCAAAGACTAGATGCAATGGAGTTAGCTTTCTGCTCATATGGTGATAAAAATCCCCTTTTTTAGAGAACAATATTTTTCTTTGCAGTGTTAAGCTATTTTTCTGTTGGTTCCTCTATTTATTCTCTATTCTCCATTTGTCCTTTGCATCTTTCCTTTTATTTCTTGAGCTCTGAATAACCCTGCTTTCTGGGTGTGAAAATGTTTTTTTTTTTCTATTCCTTTCTCCATCTGTTCCTTTGCAGCAATTCACTGATACGAATATCACCTCCATTCTTTCTGGAGCAGTTTGCTGAGGAAATGTGTGAACAAAATGTCGGAAAATAGTAATAATGCAGATTCTGACATGGTAATTTTACTGCTTTATTTGTAAAAAGACTTTAGTGGCTTGTATGTGAGGAGTGTAAGCTGTCATTAGAGCCTCAGGAGTTTAGTTTTTATTCCTGCTACATTGTGAATTCTCTTTTATCTGAATCTTATAGTCTTATAGCTCTTGTTAGTTTTAATGGAAACCAATCTGAGTTTGGAACATTAAGGCTAAGGCCACTATAGTTTATTAAAGTGAGAAATTAAATAAATTCAAATAACAATAATAAAAAAAACCTTCGTATTTTGTTTTTAACTGACGCTTTGACGTTTGGGTGAGCACTAAGTAGATTTAATTCAAAGAAAAAAAAACACAAACAAATTTCTTTTATGTATATTAAACAATGTGTCAACCCCCAAAACGTGTTATTATGATCAAAGGGGAGGTCAACCTTTTTTAATGCTGGGGAAGTTTTCTTTATTAATAAACAATATGGTCTTTACCTTGTTCTAAAATTATAAAATGTATTTACAAATTACTGAAAACAAATGGGAGATACTAGTAAACCTGTTAGTTCAGAAATTGAAAAAAAAAAAACTATAAAGGAGAGAAATTTTTTTGAGAACCTTAAACAAAGAGTCGTTGATGGCATAAGTAAACACTCATTTGTTTTTTAAATTCAAGTTTTTAGAGGAAAATAAAATCTGTTGTTGAACAGATGGCTTCAGATTTAGTGCTGGAATCTTCATTTCTGTTCTGGGACAACACAGACTCTGTCCAGGTGTCTCAAATTGCCCTCATGTCACAGTTGAAATTACACTTTATGTAACTACACCCTTCTGGAAGACTTACCCCAACAATCAAATCTTGAATTGGAGAAAGATGGATGGCTGTTTATTAGACTATTCCTATTCACATAAATGGTTTCATTTGTTTATTTAGTTTTTTAATCCTGAAGTGAAAACAACATTTGCAGTCCTAGCAACTGATGATCCTGGGATACAATAAGCATTTTAAGATCTTACCCAGGTAATTAGCTAACAATGACTTGGTTGAAAAAAAAGCAACAAAAGTTGATATTGCAAATCTTGTTAAAAATAGCTAACCTGAAAGCAAGTTTTCTAGCTTTATAATTCCTTTACATCTCTCTCCTATTTCTATTGCAAAGAAACCGTGAACATGGATGTGATCCTCAGTAAAATCTCTACTGTGATATAATAGTTATAAACCACGCTTTTAAGATTTTCAATAACTGAGGTAGATGTGAAGTCTTAGACATTCCCTTGTGTTCTTTATGTCTCTCTGTCCAACACTGCAATTTCACAACTTTGTGCACTTTTATTTCATTTGTCCTTTTCTCTCCTTACCATTGCCTCTACAAGTAACTTTCTTCTCCTATTCTTTGCACTTAGATTGTCCCAAAACAACAATTTTGGTGTCTTGTTTCCTTCTTCCCTGCCACCTCTCAATTGCTTTTCTCTTCTGGCGATCTTCCATTTTTACCACACTTGTCCTTTACTCTTCCACCTCCATATTATATACACTGAGGGTAGCACTCGCCTGATAAGCCCCATGTCTTGAGAGCTTGTCAGCTGTGTCAGGATTGTGGGTGAAGCCCATCATTACATCTGTCCTCCTCCAAACTACTCTCTGAAACTTACCAAGGACTTGTGGGCAGTGTTCAGTCCATTGTATTGTGTGTGTCAGAAGAATTTCTGTTTTTGTTATGTTTTTTTTTTCACTTTTATTTGGCAGAACAGATTCTATTTAGTAAAACTGGTAAATTTAGTGAGATGTACATAAATCTATTAACACTTAACAGAAAAGGCTATGATTTTCAGCCTCTGCAGCCTACAGTTTAAAATAACTGTCTGAAAATGTGAATTTATTCAACTCTCAGGTAAATAAATGAAAAGGTATAGTTTGGGATGAGTATGTCACTCATCAATAAGTCAAGCCCTGAAAGTTGACAATATTCTGTTGCTTTCTGGTCCCATGATAGTCCAACTTTATCCAAACTTGGTTACTTGATGTGACCCATAAAATTGTGGGGACAACAACGACAATACATACTTTAACAGTGGGGGTGTCTTCTAGTTTCTGCCTCAGATTTTCAACTGGCCCGAACTCATGTGGAAGTGATCTAGCACAATGCAAGGTTCAAGATGGAATAGTTTGTCGATACGGCTCCCCTGAGGCTTGGATAGTCCAAATGCTGTCTTTTGCTCTTTGGCTCTGGGTGTGCATGTTGAGTGTCAGTTGCTCATCTCACATGGGAGAATTTGGTGGAGTGTGTTGGAAGGATAATGTCAATCTGTTCAACTAAACTTGCCATATGGTATTGTATTTGGGAATAGATTATTAAAATGATTAATCTAGTGTATCTTATTTGGACATTTAGTGCAACATAAGTTAAGCACTTCTGTATTTTTTGCAGTTTGACCAATAAGTCTGTTTCTCACAGAAAATTAGACTATCTCTAAAGAACTTTGTGGATATTATTATTTTAGCTACCGGTATTTAATCTTGTAATTTTTGGTCATTCGTTTCCATGTTTCCATTAGTACTTTTAATAATTTTTTTCTTCAGTACTGGGCTCAAAGATTTTGAGAATGAAAGGAATCCTCACCATCTTTACCTCACCACACAGCTCCTTTATAATATCATTTGGGCCTAGCTAGGTACCTCCAAAGTAAAGTTGTAAATTATTTCCAGTCAGAAGACAGATGTTAACATTTAAAGGTGACATTAATGATATATATATCTGCCAGGGTTATGAATAATATAGAGCTTAACTGTAATGCATGATGTCTTACCTTGCTCTATATCATGTCTCTTTTTGCAGGAGATATGTACAGTATCACTTTGAGACAAACACCATTTTGGTGTCATTATCGCCCATCCTGTGTCAGTGAGACTCGATGCAGAAGTTTCAGGATTTTTTAAAATCTGTAACCAATCTTTCTTTTAGATTATTCCTCAACTTCCTGTTATTGAGTTTTCTTTTTTTTGTTTTGTTTTTTAGTATTTCAGAGATAAATCGTTCTCATTTTCTCCCTCTCTGTATGTATCCTTCTTGTCTTAGATGTATATCCAAACTACCACCCTGACAATCTCTCTCAGCCTTTCTGCCTCCGTATCTCTGGGGATGCTCTACATGCCTAAGGTCTACATCATCCTCTTCCACCCAGAGCAGAACGTCCCCAAAAGAAAACGCAGCTTCAAGGTGAGCTGAGCTTCAAATTTCACATCCTGAACTACTGCTAAATTACAGACAGGAAAACTCATATGCAGAAAACTGAAGTGAATCAAAATCTAATTGAATTGCCCAAATTGTGAATATTACTGGTATTCTCTTATTTGCAAGAATAATAAGAAAAAAAACAGTGTGCAAAATGGAGGACACAAAGCTGCAAAAAATGATATGAGGCTGTCTGAAATGATGAATTGGCTTCACTTTTCAAACAGGTGTTGGGATTACATTTGTGAGTGCATAGAACCACACACTGGGGATTTAGTGAAGTCAGAGAGACAGACATGAGGCAGCAGAAAAAAAAGATTACTTGGCCAGTACTGGAAATCCTGGGTTTGAAGTTACAGTGTTCTACAAAAGTATTCACACCTCTTTAATGGCAACCTTATTTTAAGATTTAATAGATATGCAAAAAGTGTATTTGTATTCAGTTGCCCAGAAACACCTTTTGCAGCTGTAAGTTTTTGAGGTAATGTTTGAGCACAAGATAATTTTGCCCACTCAGACTAGAAGTCATTGGTCTGTGAACTTGTTTTTCTTGCCACAAATTCTCATTGGATTATTTCTTTCATTTATTGTTAAAGATATGAGTAAGATGACTTTTGAAAACCAGTCGTTTAGGTTGAAGGAATAAAAGCTCTTTGATTTGGATTGGTTACAAATTCAAAAAGCCTCCAATTGTGCAGTATGTTGTGTTGGCATATGAAGTTTGTGATAAAAAAATTTTCAAGGTGGAAAAATAATGAAAACTTATTTCTTAGGTTCATCATAGATTCTTTGAATCTTTACAGGCAATCGTTACTGCAGCAACCATGTCAGGAAAGCTGACCCAGAAGGGAGACCGACCAAATGGAGAAGTCAAGACCGAGCTATGTGAGAGCATGGAGACCAACAGTGAGTAAGAGAACACCATTTTTTTTATAATTACACATCTAAACCACAAGAAAACCACTTCATGGATTAAATTCTTTTTCATTGCGGTTAAACATTAAAAAGGAACTGTATTACAATTGACAGATTGGAAAAATACATTTGAATAGCATTGCAGCACAACAACAACAACAAAAATAAAATTGACACATTCTATTTGTTGTTAAACACAGAATTGTTGGTAACCTTCTGATAATACAGAAAACATGTATTAGTTTTGTTAGTTTAAAGTCATTTTAGTGTTAAACCGTTAAACTGTTCACAGATAGGGTCAGCAATATTTTTATTAAATGTAAAATAATATTTTTCATATGACAGGCCATGGCAACTGCCTATAATGGGTGCAAACAGATTCCAGAGTAAGGACGGTTATTCACAACCACCCACTGTTTTTAATGCATTCAAAATATTTTGTTAATTACTTGTCCTCGTAGATTAGTGATGCACAAACAAACAAATACAACCTATCCCTAAATGAGTTCAGTGTTTGAACCTTTTTCATTAATTTGTTTTTTGTTAGTTTTCAATTAAATTTCATGACTCACTTTTTCTTTCCTGCCGTGGTGCCAATTTCTAAACAGCATGGTGTGAAGTACTGCCACGTCCATGTCAAAAGCCTCATTATGGATTGAACTAGCTAACCCCATTATCAGAATGTATCAGTGAAAGAGGGTTTTCACATGCCTGTGTGTGATCTTAGAGTAGTACATATATATTTTTTAACTTGAGTTAAACAGTGGGAATAGTTATGAATGTAACATAGTGCGGAAACAGTTTTGAACACCCCAAATAATATATGCAAACAATTAACTTTGTATAACAGAGTATATGGCAGTCCCTGGTTCTTAACGTGCACTGCCCTGCTGTCATCTAAAACAGAGAAACATCTAATACATGCAGGGCAGTGTGCATTGAGGACCAGGTTTAAATGAAATACACAGGTATTGGCACAGGGAACAATCCTTGATCACCTCAAACAATCCTGAATCCTATTAGATACATTTAAAGCTACAGTGTGTATTAATTACAGGGATATACAGTCAGAAATGTAATATATTATACATAACTATATTATTTATCATCATCTACGAGCTCAGCCTCTTAACCTTAATATTTGCGTTGCTACCAAAAAAGACTGCTAGAACTGTAGAGGAGGCTAAGCAACAACCCCCCTGAGCCAGGAAAGGGGGCCCCTTAAGCACATATTGAGTTGCTTCCCAGAAGCTCCAGGGAGAGGCTGATACTGCTGGTGTCACAATCAGATGCTCTAAATGATCACAGAGAGCCTCTGTATTGTCATTGCCAGCTGTTGTAGATCTAAACCCAGAAAGCTAGCTGTTAACTTCATTAGAGCCCTAAACAACATCCACTCTGCAGCATGATCAGGGCTTAAACTGCATAGAAGTGACAGCTGCGAGTGCTGCAGGTATCAAACCTGACATTCTGTTGTAAGGGGCTACGACGGCAATATTCACACAGCAGGTTTTGATGCTCGATTCCTAATTTCCTTTGCATAGTTACTCAGACTGCTGCTTTAATGTAGCCATCATTCGAGTCCAGTCCAAACAGTCCATGGCTCCAATGCGACCCACATGCACAGAAGGACTATGTACACAGCAGTGCACTGTTTAGATAAGTAATAGATGTCACCATTTCTGTGTTATTATAAATTGTTCAACAGTAGGAGCCAACAATATTTTTTCCTTTTTTTTTTTTTTTTTGCATCATAAAATGGAGAAAGGTGAGAAAGAAAAACTACTCACACCACAATGAGTTTTTGGCTTTTGTGGAGCAGAAGCTTTATCAGACATGCATTACATTATTTCTTTGGGAGGTGAAAAAATCTGAAATGTGTTTAATTTGCCTGCAGTGTGAATGTAGCCAAAGTGCAGTTGCATAATAAATACTCTCCACATGCAGATTTAGTACCACCATCACCCCAATCTCACAAACATGTAGCGCTGCAACTAACAATGCTTTCCTACTTGATTAACTGTTCCAACTACACCACTAAAGAGTTCTGGATAATCAAAGGTTTTTTATCTAAACTTTTTCAATATTTCTTTTTACAATTTTAGCATAATCACAGTCTGTATACTCAAGTCAACAATTAATAATTGCAAAATGAGTTGATTTTTAGAGCCATACACACATGAGAGCTTGCTGGAGGAAATCAAATTCCTGTGATTGGCTACTTTTTAAGAAATTCCACCTCTTCATACAGTACTGTTCTCTTCCTGGTTGTGGCCAATAACTTTAACAAACCATCTTCAGGGCAATCGCTGTTCTCTTAAAGAGATACAAAAAAATGGTTAAGTGAAGTCATGAATGTGTTTTGACAGTAGCATCCATATTCTCTAAAATGTTTAATGATATAATTTTGAACTTCCTATGCAGTGAGCTTGGCTTCGCCATTGATGTTTAGGAAAATGAGGCTCCAGTGAACTTTTGTTTATAGCTGGAGAGATTTCTAATCAGTTGGATATCAAGTAAGAGAGCAGGTATTAGCCTGAAGATATTTTGCTAATGGTACTAGCTACATCCTGGAAGAAAACAATTAAGTCTCAAGAGGCAGAGTTTCCTGTAAGCAGCCAATATCAGGTAGTATATCTTTTCTCGTTGGGTTTATCCTCAAAGTAACAAAAGTTGACATGAGTGCACAGATACAGCTCTACACGTTACAAAGGCTAAAGAACAAGCCATATGTACAGAGAAAAAAAGGGAATTCACTCATACTTGTGTGAATATTTTAGGTCCTTATTTTGTCTGCATTAATAAAACTGCTACTTCATATCGAGAGAGTTGTCATGCTGGGACAAAAAAAGATATTAAGGCCTAAAGTGAAGTATGACAGCCTTATCAGCAAAATGACTGGATGTTTGGGTACCTTCCTGTGAAATCAAGGTCCAGCCTCTCTGCAGACCTTACACTCCACTCTGGATCAGTGGAAAAAGAAGGAGATAGAGCAGAACTGTGATCAAGCTGCCAGGGCACAGGCTGGGCTCCCTGACCTGAAACACCCAGTGACCTCAGCATACATCAGTGAGTGTGCCCTAGCTTTCATCAGAAGAATTTTCACAGCGACCCTGCATGCTTTAGATGCATCTCTCTTGCAGCACACCTGATAGAAAAGATTGCATGACCTCCTCAGCAGCCATCAAGTGCTGCCAAAGTCTATTAATTATACATTCACATCAGTCCGGGGTTTCTCAGCAAGAAGACACTTTAAACATGCAGGGCAGCTGTCCCTGAGGCCCTAAAATGAGAACCAGTGTCCAATACATTGCTGGAGAGCTTCAGCTTTTACATTCATCTCTTTTCTAACACTGAAGCTAATGTCTGTATTCAGTTGATGTTGGAAAAATCTTGTGAGATAGTAGCTCTAGCTTCTAGGACTGGATTTGATTTAGAGGCTCAGGATACCTTTCCAGATTTTGACATTATCTGTATAAATCAAAATGATAAGCATTAATAAAAGTTAGAATTGTTTTTTTCTGTACCTGTTATCACTGGAAATCCACAAAGTTCCTGTCAGAAGAAAGATGCTACTAAAATACAATATTTCCACTATTATTGTTGATACAAATCAAATAATTCGAAGAGGACACTCTAAAGCAGGCATCCCCAAACTCGGTCCTTCAGGGCCGCTGTCCTGCAGGTTTTAGAGGTTTCCCTGCTTTAGCACAGCTAATTATAATCATTGCGTTAGAGCTAAAGCCTGTTAATCAGCTTTCAATTAAAATCAGCTGTGCTGGAGCAAGGAAACCTCTAAAACCTGCAGGAAGGCAGCCCTCGAGGACCGAGTTTGGGGATGCCTGCTCTAAAGAATCCAATATTCTGTCAGCATAAAATATCCCCTAGCAATGGTGGCAAAAATAAGTGCTTTTGATTCAAATTTTGAACCCAGTTTTAAATCGTGTCATTTCCCCATCAGTACGTTTCAGATGTTTTGGGGGTTTTTTCACGGAGCTGTAATGATGATGTAAATTTTCACAGATAAATCTTGACAGCAAATGTTACACCTTTTAATTTGAGGGTAGGACTCCAGCAGCTTCACGTATTCTGTGACTGACATTGCTAATTGTTTTTGCAGAGTTCCTTCTAGATAGCCATCCTAGATGCATTTAAACACCAAATTTCATGTGTAGCCACCAATACTCTATTTGATTTTAACTCTCGCTATATATTTTACATTATCCTCTGAAATGCTTTCTTCCAGAATTACCATCCATTAATGCAGTCAGAACAGCTTCCCTTTCTCTACAGAAGCAGAGCATCAACTCTCTCTTTATTTTAGCTAACAGTAGGAGGTTATCTGTTCATTAGACAAATAACTTTTACAGGCTGATGGGGGTATTTTATTATTATTAGTGAGGATTATATCAGATTAAAAAGAGCTGAATGCAAAACAAATTTGCGATTTACATTTAAAGTTTTGAAAAACATTGGGCCCCTCCTACTTTTGAGTACTACTTTGTGTTGAGTGTTACAGTGCATAAACTCCAAATGAATTGCTGATGAAGGTTCTCAGTCATCCAGGTCAAAGTCATTCCGTAAAAATTCAAAAAATATCCACTGGATTGGTTTTCAAGATTTGAAGACGTTTCGCCACCTCTCCAGGAAGCTTTCTCAATTCAAATGTCCAAATGAATTAGTCTTTGTTTGTATGATGACACAACGTGAACAAGTTAAAGAGCTATAAATACTTTTGAAAGGCACCATATGAGTTGCAAAAACCCAATGCATACATAACAGGAAAGTGGTTAAGCATCTATGCCGCTGCAGAGACATTGTTTAACAGGGACAAAACAGAGGGGACACAAAACTTTGCACATGCTGAAGTCTCAACAACTTAGGTGGTGTCCTGATGGGACAACATCGCCAGTGATCTATTTTAGCGGAGTGTTGACCAAGTGGTTAGAGCAGTGAGTTTTTGCTCTTAGAAGTTTGCAAGTACCCAGTTCAATCCCTACAGGCTGTATGCCAGGTCTCTGAGCAAGACCCTTAACCCCTGGTTGCTCCCCGCACAATGGCAGCCCACTGCTCCCCAAGGGGATAGGTTAAATAAAGAGGTAAACTTCTCCAATGTGAGATTAACAAAAGTTCAAATATTATTATTTATTTATTTTTCTTTTGTTTCCTTGTCTGAACTTGAATTTTGCTACAAATGCATTCTTACACTTCTCTGTTGACTTGTCTTCATACAGCTTCATCAACTAAGACGACTTACGTCAGCTACAGTAATCATGCCATTTGAAGGGACTACGAAGGGAGGGAGCGTGTCTTCTAGGGAGCCAAGTAAGAGAGGAGGTGGAGGGGATCACATCTGATTTTGCCGAAAACCGGTGAATGCACAGAGCGCCCAATGGAAACCAAGCATGAGACATTTTGTATTTGTTACCCATCAGAACCACAGAGGTGGGACCACTCAAACAGCCAGTCAGTGTGCCTGCTTTGCTGCTACTCTCAGCTCATTGGTCCTGCCATGAACTTACCTGTTTAAAGAAAGAAAAAAAAATCTTTAAAAAAGTAAAATAACACAGGACAATGGACAGCAAAAAAAAAAAAAATTAAAAACGTTTAAAAAAAATGTTAAAAAATATCCGAAGATGTGTAGAAATTATATATAAAAGGGCAAAGGTGGGGCTGAAAAAGAGATTTAACAAACTACATTTTAAAAGATATTTAAAAAGAGAAATGTAAGAGAAAATCTATGAGACTCAAAGTGTTTGTTGTTGTTCTCTACTTGTAAGTATTTTTGTGGTTGTGACAATTTTTTCATTCTTGTCTCACCGTTGTCTTTGGATCGCCCTTGCATAATGAGATGAGTGTGTTTCCTCCTGCTGTCTTGGCGAACCGGGTTGTAGCCTTGGGTTGTGAACCTGTCTAATGCCATGGTTGAAGCATGCCAGTTTTTATACAAAAAGGAGATTTATTTATAATAAAGGAATGTTTTGCAAATGTGTAGATTTGTTGTCATGTTTTTGATAATTCAAGGTAATTAAGGTTTTTAACTCTTTGAATGACAGAAATTGGGAAATTTGATCTTATTTGCATATGCATATGCATACAGTGGCATCATTTTAAAAGGAAAAAAAATTATCTGACACTCTATCAAGTGAAAAAGGGTAGGTAGCTTTCTCTAAGACATAGCAAAGCAATAATTTTTTTGTCAAAATTTAAATTTCCAAGATAAAAGCAAAGAAATTTAAACCTGCTGTGTTAGAACGTTAAATTCTTGTACATAGATGTTTTACATGTTGGATAGACAATTAAATAGGGGATATGTAGATTTGACCACCAATAAACCTTTAGAGGAACCAGGGGAAGGGCGATATGGCTTGAATATCTGACTTTTAATTATTTTTCTTACCAGATCTTGTGAATCACTTATTTTTCTCACTTAAGTTTTATAATAAAAATGACATATTGCTTTGATGTCCATCATGCCCCCTTGGCGGTGACCTTAATTTAAAGGGTAAATTTAAGCTTTGAGCCTTTCTTTTAAAATAATGTTTCCCAAAATGAATTAAATATAACACACTAACTCCATCTTGTATTACAAAGAGACCAATTTTATCATAATACCCTTATAAGAGGTGACTAAGAGGGAATGAGGACAGCGAGAGCCAACTTTAACAATGCCATAAGGTCAGAGCCATGGTCAGAAAACCCAGGATAGTTTCCACGATGCCAGCAACACCAGGAGCATGTGGCAAGGCATACAGGCGATTACAGAGTACAACTCACTCACCCCAACCCCTGGGCGCCCTCCTGTTCACTCTGATGACACACGACTGGGTCCCCAGGTTCACTACCAATCACATCAGGAGGTTTGCAGACAACACTACGGTGATGGGCTTCATCAGAGACGACAACGACTAGGACGAGAGAGAGGAAGTGGAGCAGTGGAGAAAACAAAGGAGATCATTGTTGACTTCTGGAAGAACCGGCCTAACCACGCTCCACTGCTCATCAACAGGTCAGCTGTGGAGGTGGTCTGCAGCACTAAATTGCTGGGGATGTACATCAGAGACAACCTCACCTGGGTTGTAAACACCACCTCTCTGGTCAAAAGGGCACATAAGTGCTTGTACTTCCTCCAGAGGAAGAGGAGAGCCCAACTGCCCCAACCGAAAGAAGCACCATAGAGAGCGTTCTGACCATCTGTCTCACTGTGTGGTGTGGAGGCTGCAGCACCTCAGACTGGAAGAAGCTGAGACGAGTAGCAGAGAGGATCATCAGGGCTCCTATTCCCTCCATTAAGGACATTTCATCCCAGCGCTGCGTGTTCAGAGCCCATAACATCATCAGTGACCCCTCACACCCCCACCATGGACCGTTCTCCCATCTGCCCTCTGGGAATAGGCTTAGCAGTATTTGCTGCAGGTACAGCAGGTTCTGCACCAGCTTTTCCCCCACTGCCATCAGACTGTTGAACTGTTAAACTCTAAACTCGACTCTGCATCACTCTTGCAACTATATTTTCGCACCACCAACGTGGCAGAAACTTGTATAATCCTTTTAAATAAGAGAACTCAATGTTATACAGTATTTTGCAGCTTATTTATTTTACACTACACTGAACCTTCCATATTGAGGCCCTTTTGCAACATAATTTTTTTATTACTCATTTTCCTTCTGTCCTTTACTGTTTACATCCTGACCACTGCTGCACTTTTAAATAGTAATGTTCATTTCACTGTTCTAAGCTGTATGCAACTGAATTCAATTTTGTATACACGCTGTGCATACAAAATGAAAAAACGTTTGTCTAAGTACAAAGTGATGTCACTCTGAAGCCCAAGAGGGATACTAGATGACAAAAATCGAGATTTTCCCCCAAAAATTATCAATCTAACCCTAACCCATTCTTCATGTAATATGAGGAGGCAATATATTGCCTCCCAAAACTTTGATACAATATACAGCAACAACCCAAACGAAGAAATGAATATAAAAAAACAAAACGATACTGTATACTTGGTGGATGCCAGAACTAAGTGACTGACCTTCACCAGGTCTTTCTTTCTCATGAACCATCCACTGTGGCTGGAAAAAAAAAAAAGGTTCCATAAAGAATCTATATTCTTCTTCAGAGCCCTCCTGTATAAAACAATGCACAACTTCCGTACCAAAATGTGGCAGTAGGGCGGAATCTTGTAACCAACCCAGATGTATAAAACCCTGTACATGTTACTGCACACCTTTACTTTATCCTAATCTTTGTTAATTCAAACGCAGCTGGTTGGAACGCCCAGTGTCCGCCTACAAATTAATAGGTAATATAAATAGCTGAAAGGCTCCCACTGCATGTCCCAGTAACCATGACAACGATGCTCTCAGGTTGTCCCAGAGAGACTTATTACAGCCAACCAACAACTTATTGAATGACATTAGCGACTCACTAAAAAAATCGACTAAGTCTCTGGCTCTGTTTTTTTTATTTCTACAGAGTTAGTTTGAGGTCCAAAAGTTTCTTTACCAGGAATGAGAACAACTGTCAAACTTAAATATATCCTGTGTTTCCATTAAGAAAAAATATCAACACAAACGGGAGAAGCAGGCTATAGTAAATGTTTAGAACATTTCAGAACAATAAGACAGATAAATAAATAGATGCTAGCCTTTGTGCACCAAGCCTACGTGCAGTTTGTTCTCAACACAAGTATCGTAATTATTATCATTGTAGGTTTCCTGTAAAGGAGTGCTGAGTCTAACTGGCCAGCATGCCATTCTTTGAAACACATTTGTGCATGACAAATATGTGTACAGCTTTTTACATAAACAGTATTTGTGAAAATTGGCTAGTCATTTCAACTTCTGATTGGATTTGTATCTATCATTTAAGATATCTAAGCAGCACAGGTGTGGCTGCCACTGAGACCTCTTAAGATGACTGTTAACCCGATACAACCCCCACTTAGAAAAGTTAGATCTTGAACTGGAATTACACAGTTCCTTAGTGCCTCCCTTTGACACTAAACAATATAAACCAGCTACAGTAATAATCCATCCATCATCATGAATCAGCAGGAGCTCTGAATACCCCCCCGTGCACAATTACGCACGCCTTTACACAGCTATTAATAAACATGCATGGACATCTACAGCTTGTCCACCTAAATAACCATCACATCTGACTTGTTTGGTATTAGCATGCTGATTCACCTCCTTTTTTCGTTAGAATCAAAGTGTCCCTTTGAGAATAAAAGTAATTTTCTGCTACTCGGCACACGGACCAATGTGTATTTCCATGACCTAAAGGCAAATATTTACAAATTACATCCGACTGAGACTTTTTCCATCTGTTTTTTTTAGATCTTTGTGGTGTTTTATGAAGATAAATGTCATTCAGTTCAAGTTTACATCATTAAAAAGCTCAAACACGTGCAAGAACCTTGGGTTTGTTGCTCGTTTAATTTATATTTACCAAAGAGAGAAACTTTACTTTTTATTTGGTTAGCTTTAGTGCTCTTTCACTTTTTGTTGTGGATTTAAAAAGTTCTATTCTAAGCATTTAACAATTGTGCTTCATGGTTTTTTCAGGTCATGTAAATCATATAGATTTTAAATCATTGGATTTAAATCATTTTTCAACCTCACCGTCTAGTAATAAACCTAAGTGCAGATTAAACTGTTTAAATTACTGTAGCTCTATCAGTGAGCAGCAAGCATTATGCCATGTTTGGAACAAAAAGAAAAACTTCAACTCCCTCTAAAAAATAAAAAATAAAATCTTAAATTAATGAGCTGTAGTAAACAAAAACATTTTCATTTTGGCAAACAATTAGAGCTGAATTAAACACAAATATTTGTTCTTACCTATTAATTTGTTTTCCTTATCTTTAGAACTTGTGGATTTATTTTTGAAATATTTGTTGTTAAATATTTTGTATCTTTATTTCTAAAGCAATTACCTTTTATCTGAAGTTCAAATTATAGTTATCTTTCCATTTTTCCTGAGTGTGGACCAAAGTAAGAAAATGAAATACAATAGTTTACTTTGCTCGTTTGCAGGTGCTTGTTTTACTGCAACTTAAGCTTTTCAATTCTCAGGCGAATGAAAGTCCTTTCCTTGGACAATGCAACCGTAGCTCACCTGGTATAGAAATCAAAGCTAACACCATTATAATAATTTTATGGCCATAAGAATTATGATAAACTAGGTGAGCATTTTTTTTCTTTAAGCTTTTATTTGGCTGGTTCTGTAAGGATGGGTTTATCTTTGACTGACAGCACTGTGAGGTTTTCACATCAATCATTAAAAGCGAGAGTATTTTTGAACAACCCCATTGAAAGCAGATGTCAGTAAGCCCTTCAGATGAAATCCATAATGTGTCAAAGGATAAAATGTGGCTCGTTTTAGCACTTGTCTGTTATCAACACTCGGAAGTCTGCGAGTCATCTGGTGTTTTCAGAGGAACCCAGATGGTGCCAATCTGTGTACAGAATGGATTGATGCTCTCAATCAGTACTCTATCAGATGAACATCAGTGTCAACGTGCAGGTGATAAAGGTGTAGTTATAGGCTGATTTGTTGGATTGTA